GTTCTATCATGTTGTGGCCTACTGCTAGCACCGCTCTGATTTAGAGTATGTTCAAACCTTTAGAGCACTCCAAGCTGATGCTTCTTTCTTGGTATTAGACTCTAAGGCCACATAACACCTTACAAATGACTACAATCAAATGCAAGGTTCTGCTCCTATAGATGGGATGAAGAAACTTCAGGCAGGCAATGGGCAATAGGTGCCTATAAAGCACACAATTGATTGTATATTTCCTACTCCTACTCACAAACTTTGCATTCCCACTATCTGGCATGCACCATCCCTCTCTCACAACTTCTTCTCAGTTTAAAAGCTTACCAAAAAAAATTCCTATCATCTTTATACATACTACTTCTTCCTTTTCCGTACAAACCACCTCCAAATTAAATTTGATCCAATTAATTAATCCGAATTAAATCACCAATTCCTTTTTTATGAAGGTGATAAATTGATTTTAATTCCGCTATATGCATCATATAAAATGATAAAATAATAACAATAAGATGTAACTAAATACAAAAAAGTGAGAAATATTTTTGTAAATAATTGTAATATGTTCATAAATACAAATTTAAATTATGATATATCATAAATATATGAGATATCAAAATCTCCAATGTCATCCGTTTAAATCAATTTTATGATTTATTGCTCGCTATTTAAAAAAGCAAAAAAGGAGAAGAACTATTTATATTATTAGCAAAAGTCTAACATCCTGCACCTAATTAATGATTTGCGTGTATCGGCTAGCAGCTTGTACAAGAAAAAAATAACATAATATATAAAAAAAAGGGCAAATATTTAAAGAGATTCAATGAAGATTAGTTGAGAAATGATAAACATGCTTGACTTATAATAGTCTTATTGATGAATTAATTAATAAATTGACAGTTGATCAGAAAAAAAGGCTTGATAAATATGATAATAAAAATAGAGCGCTTATTGAAGGATTAAAATTAAAGAAAGTTAAACAAGAGAAGGTAATGAATGATTCAGTATGAAGCATGTTATTTGTTAGAGGGTAACATGAGCATTTAGCAAAAGAGAAATTGGTTCAATCAATGGCGTTTATTGTACAAATTCTTTTGTTTGGGTTGTGTTCAGCATGTTGCACCAATGGAAAATAAAATCACATGTGGTTATGATAAAGAAAGTCATTTAAGAAATGATATTGAAGAGTTATGAGAGATATTACACTACTTTAATTAACATGTTTTCTTAGTAAATTTTGAAGAATAAGAAAATGTTAAATGAGTAGAATAAAATATTTTGATATGAATATTTAGAATGGGGAGTTGTTCAAGGTTGAGTTATCTATAGGAGATAATAATAATTTGTGTATCATCTAATGAAATTTTGAGACCAAGCAAGTGACATCAATTAGTTAATTCTAAAATTGATTATCATGAAAGCATGTTAAAACAATTAATAGGGAATAATAGAGAACAAAAAAGAGTATTTTAATGATTTTTATTATTTAGCATGAATAGCGATGCATTTTTTAGAAAAAGTATTCCAAATTCAAATTCAAGATGATCCAAAGCTCCGACTTCAACAAGGTTATAGTCAAATTGACAATCTCGACAAGACGAACACAAATAACACCAAAATTAGTCCAATCTGAGTCCAATCAAGCCCGGATCAAGTCGTTGAACCATGTTTTGAGACTTCAAGTAGTTGGTTGGAGAGTGAAATAAACTTTGAATTTGACATACTTAAAATCAAATCAAACGTCTCGATGAGAGGAATCCAATAAATCCAACCTCTATTATTTCTTATGTCATTAAAACACTCAAATCATCAAATAATATCATTCAAAGTTAATTGATGTGGGTCATTTGATCGTGTAGTTATGATAGTTATTAGTTGAATGACCCAAATGCCCCTCTTGGAGCTTATAAATGGATCTCATCTCTTCACTTGAGGGGAAAATGAAGTGGAAGAGAATGACCCTAACTCCTGAAGATTAGGCAATAACCTTTGGCCTCTATAACCCTAACCAACTTCAACCACCACCCGCCGGTCATTATGATCCATGGTCGTCTGCCCTCTACTGATTAGAGTAATGAAGTACTCTATTGAGTAACAAAGTATCCTGAGTACTGTGTGACTATGTATTTTGCCCTCTAATAATTAGAGTAATGAAGTACTCTGTTGAGTAACAAAGTATCATGAGTACTGTGTGACTATGTATCTTGAACACATTGTATTAAAGATTTGACGGTAACACATGTCAAAAAATGCTTACAACTCTCATATTTAAAATACGATGAATTTCTCTATACTGCTGAAGTTTTCTCTTTTTGTTGTATAATGAAAAGTGGCATCTTTGGTGTAAAATAGTAAACCTGGGAGAATGGATGCAACCATCAACTGGTGAATCCAAGTATAATATTGTTGGCCAATTGAAGCTATTACAACCCTCTACTATGGCCTAACTAACTACAACCTATTGGGTTCACTACTACTGTAACTTCCAAGTACAACTTTTATGGTTAATTGACACTATTGAAGCTCCTCACGATGGTTTATGTGAACAAATATGACTTCTGTGGCTCACTTCTTCTGCAACTTCCAACTAAGGCCTTTGGGACCAACTGACCCTATTGCAACTCACCACTATAGCCTACATGACTAACTGCTATCAACTACGACCTATGTGATCAACTGACTCCACTACAACTCCCCGTCAAGGCCTACGTGACCCAAGGCCTACTTGATTAATTGCTACTACAACTACAAACTACGCATAAACAACCAACTACGGGATATGTGGCTAACTACTATAGTTGTGTCCAATTACGACATATGTGGCAAACTGATTTTACTGCACCAACTATATTCTATTTGGCTAACTGTTATTATTGCTTCCAATTACAACTTCTATGGCTAATTGATGCTACTGTAGCTACCAACAATGATCTATGTGATCAATTATTATCTATGTAGCTAACTGTCATTGTAGCTTCCAACTACGACCTTTGAGCCAACTGATGTTGTTGTAGCTTTGAAGTATAGCCTATGTAGTTAATTACTATGACGTCTTTTCATTAATCGGTGCTACAACAACTACTAACTAAGACCTATATAATCAACTATGATCTATGCTACTAATTGTAACTAAGACTTCCAACTATGATCTCTAGACAAATGAAGTCATTACAGCTACTAATTTTGGCCTATGTAGCATGTTACTAAGTCAGATTTTTGTTGTGGCTTCTGTGACTGAGTAACGTTATTACAACTTTTAATTAGGGCATTTATAGTCAACTGATGCTACTGTAGCTCTCCACTATAGCCTATGTAACCAATTATGGCCGTTACGATCAACTACTTTAAGGCTTTCAACTGCGGTCTTGACTACAAATTGACGCTATTACAGCCATCGATGATAGCATTGTTGGCAAACTTCTTCTTTTGTAGCAAACAACTACAACCTTTACGGTCCAACTATCATTATTATCATTAAGAACTGCAGTTCTTGTGCCCTAATTACGACTATGAAAGTTGGACTACTATTTTACATTTGTAGTTACATTTTCTCTAATTCAGAATAAGAATTGACATATATCAATCACATAATGGATTCTTTTGACTGGGCTAGGACCTATGATTTTTTTTCTTTTTCAGAATATTTCCACGTAAATAATGATGACGCCACCTCCTACTATATTATAGTATGTTTATGTGTGAGATCTTCGTACAATGCTGAGATGTTAAATTATCACTCTAACGCTGCAAATCTTTCGACACGCAACAAGGTCTATTCCAAGAATTAACATTTGAGCGTGTCTTTTTATATTAATTATTAAGATACTTGCATGGTACAATCAAAATAAAATATATTTACATATGCTTTTCATACATAATATGATTCTAATTGTTAAGACATCTGTTAAAATAAATTAACAAGTTAGAGCTGTTGATAAAACAGTTAGATGACATAATAAAAATTAACTGTACAATATGATTTGAGGTGGTATATAGATAATTATTATCAATATTTCTAGAAAATAAGATGATAATTAATTGCTAAAATACCAAATTTATTATATAGAAACAACCATGATATAATTTATAGAATTAACGATTGATCCTTAAAAAGAAAAAAATAACTTTTTCTTTTATATCATAAAAGGATATCATGAATGCTTTAAACTATATTTGATAAAACTATATTTAAGCTGATGATATTGTATAAATTTAATTGTCGAGTGTAAGAAAATCATTTATTTCTAATTTTTTTTTTGAAAAAAAAAAGTAGAATATTAATATAAACTTATGACAATAACAAGAAGGATAAATTAAAGAAAAATATTAGTATTAGAGAAGGTTGGAGTGACATCCTTACCATAAAGTGTGATATTAGATATAGATAGTTTGAATATTTACAAGAATAACTAAAACATATGCCCATTAAATTAGCAAATAAAATTAGTATATGAAATGATTGGGAAGAAAACTGAGTACAAAAAATTGTATGGTTCAAACTTGCTTAAAATGAAATACAAATAATCGATTTGGCACCACAACAACACTCATTAAGAAAACGAAAAAAATAAAATCATTATATCCACTCCTAATTATAAAGATAAGGCTAATAAAGATGATGAGACAGTATAGTGTGATTGTACTTAAATACAATGCATGCCAATATTAATTATACCTGTATAAATACAAATAATGTAAATAATGTTTATATTTAAGTAGGGACTTTTCTTCATACCCCAAAATCTCTATATATTCAAATATCAATACTAAAGTTTTTTTATATTCATTTATTTAATGCCCTAGTCATTGAATCACATTAAAGCATATTAATAAAAAAGCTGCATTTTAACATACACAAGTTAATATCAAAGCTACCTTTTTTTTTATATAATTATAACATTCAGATGCCACATAAACAATTAAAAAATATTCCTATTTTAATCATATAAATACATAAAAAAAAATTGAATATTCTAAAAAATCCATTAAAAAAATGTACTAATTCACTGTCCCGCTTTCTTCTTAGAAAGAATTATGGTGAAACTATATACTTTTAGCCCAGTCCAACAAAACGACGCCGCTGCCTTTTCACGCCGAACGCGTCCTTTTCCCCATCCAGACCATCCAATGGCATCCCCAGCCCCACAATTTTGACCATTATACCCAATCCGCCACTCTTCCCGCCATTGACCTTCACCATCGAGCAAATCACCCTTCTACAGCTCTATTTATCTCTTCTCCCCTTCCTGCGTTGACCATTCCCTCCCCTCCCCTCCCCTCTCCTTTCCCCATGGATCCCCGCTACCCTCCGCCGCCCGACGACCACCTCCCCCGGCCAAAGCTCCAGCTCCAGGGCCCTCGCCCAACTCCTCTCCGCGTCAGCAAAATCTCTCACAAAATCAAAAAACCCCCCGCACCGCCTCCACGGGATCCCGTCATCATCTACACCCTCTCCCCCAAAATCATCCACGTCGATCTCGCCAACTTCATGGGACTCGTCCAGCGCCTCACCGGTCCCGACCAGCCCTTCTCTCCCGCCGCCAAGCTGGCCACGATACAGAGCGCCACGGTCCATGCACCTGGGCTTAACCATGGGCCGCCCATAATAGATGTGGATCTCGAAGAGCTGGAGCTGAACCGGCCCGCGACTAACCCGGGTATTTTGTCGCCGGTTCCGGCTTCACTGCCGCCGATATCGCCCTGCTTCTTTTCGCCTTCTTACCTCGACCCTAGCTTTCTGAGCTTCTTACATGATTTGAGCCCTGTTGGGTTGGCTGGTGGCCGGCCATCTCCGGCGGTGAGCGGAGGAAACATGTTCGGTGCGACTCCGGGTAAGTTCCTGTCGACTCCTTCGTTTCCTTCTCCGGGAGCGGCTATGTGGGATTTGTTTAAACAGTTTAAGGATTCTTAGAGGAGGAAAAGGAAGAAGAGAATTGAATTTTGTGGTAGGGGGGGTAGAGAGGAAAAGGTGGTTGGCAGATAATTTATGATGGTTTTCCCTGACACGATACACATGAGCCTTCTTTTTAATATTATCTACACATATTGTTGCTACTTAGATAGCATTATTATCTACAGATATTGTTGTTTATGAATTGCATTTGTATGATCCAATGTCGTATTACAGACTGGTGTGTTTAAGCTTTTTCAAATTGTAATTTTTTTTTTATTTTATCGTGGCCAATTTAATAGATTTTTAGGTTTTTTTTTTATTAATGCTGGATTAAGTTATTATTAATATGAGAGATATACTAAATTGAATGCATTAATTATTGTAGGATGGTTATTCTTTTGATCATTTGCTTTGATTGAGAATTAGAAATTACATGTGTGTGATTGGTTGGTCATCTTTGTTTTTGTTGTATAAAGATGCACAATAACAAATATGCATGTATAGAACTTGTATACATTTGCCTGCGCTTTTTGATGGCAGTGTTGGAAAAATAGCCTGAAGGTGCTTATATTTTGCATGAATAATTGCGGCGTTGCACTGCAGCTTTTATGTAAGGCAAGCATATATATAGAGAGAGAGAGACCTTTTTTCACTTGAATTTGTTGGGCTGGGGCAAGGCTTTCCTTTATTTGTTGAATTTGTCAGACTGAAAAGTTATTTTGATAAATCATTGTTGTTGCTGCCAGTGCATCAATTCATTGTCGCCATATTAATTCATGGTCAGTCGCCACGGCTGCTGGCCACTCGTTGGTCACTACTCTTCTTTTATTGGATTTTTAGTTTTTTTTTTTTTTACTTTACTTTAATTTAAATATTAAAATAATCTTCTGTATTTATTTTTCACCCAATCAACAATTCTAAAATATTTTAAATATGCTATATTTTAGTCACTATGTTTCTTTTAACTTGTGTTCATTTTCCACCGTACCAAACAGCCCCTATCGGAAGGATGCTATCACATTAAGAAACTAGTGGAGTGAAAAATACTGTAATTGAAAGAATAAGTTCTCCAAAGATGGGATAGGCATAAACTAAGCGGCTCTTTAATAGGAAAGATTTGCACTGTACTGTAATTTTTTTACGGAAATTTTAAAAAATTATGTGTTTTGTATGAAAAATTACAAATATAATAAAAAGTATGAATGAATTTGAAGTTCATATGATGATTTATATTCTCTGAATTTAGAATTCAGTGACCGATTTGGCCGAATTTGAGTTACACCATAAAATATTATAGGTAGATAGCTGCCTAAGCCATTGCCACCATCGCCGCCCCCCACAATCGCTGGCCATTCCTCTCGGCCATCCCTTGGCGCCCGCCATCGCCGACTGTCCCCCGCCCGCCGCCCGCCACTTCCATCTACCACTGCTGCCAGCTTGTTAGACAAACAATATATTTTAAAATCCATAATTTTCAATCTACTTCAAAGTAAAAAAGATATATATAAATCCAACTTTTATTTTACATTGAATAACACAACTTTAAAGTATTTCAAATACATTATAATCAGAGTACTCTACAAATCTTTTACATTGTATTTCATTGCTTTGTGATTTTTTTACATGTATTTGCACTATAATTTTTTTAAAAGGCTTAATATATATTTCTGAATGATACAATTTTTTATATTAAAACAAAAAAGAGGACTAATATTATATCATTAAAAATTCACTTGATTGAGCACCAATTAAAATGCATTTTTATGCAATTTTTGAATTTATAACAAAACATCTAGAATTACTTAGGAATATTCCCTCAATGATTTTAACAAAATTATTGTCAAATTGATCGTCTTGATAAGAAAAAGTCAACAATATTAAAAGTTATCTGAGTTGAGTCTCAGTGAACTTGAATCAAATGCTTTTAGTAACATTAAAAATCTTGGGATGTTAATTAAAAAGTTAAATATCCCGAAATCTTATATATTTGTAATAAATTGAGTTTCTTAATGAGAGACTTAGTAAGCCCAATACCACTCAATTTTAAGGTAATGTAGACAATTATTAGGTCAACATTCAATGATCAATGGAACTAATATGGGTTGTTCAATGAGATGCTGTGAAATTTTGGGTAAAATAATTAAAATATCTCTAATGAAAAACTATCATTCTTCTTATAAAAAAGAAGAGCTTGAAGATCTTAAAAACTTTAAACCCTTACCCAAGATTTGGCACCAATAATCACCGTCCACTGAGGATGATCAGTAATTATCATTATATAATTATATTTGTTTAACCTCATAACCTTTGTTCTTCTATTTTTATCTGATCATCATCATCTATCTATCATCATCTTACTATCATCATCTGACTATCATAATTTTATTATCGTCGTTCTACCATCAATGCCCAACTCAGATAGTCTACCACCCCTCATCATCTTTCATCACATCTTCGGTATTCTCTACCATTCACCAAAAGATAAATCTGCGAACTAAACTTTATAATGTCTTTCCCAACTGAAAAGGAAATAAGTCTTTATAATCACTATAATTTTTTTTATTTGAAATTCAAACATAAAAATTTTAATAACTTGGGTTCTTTTTTTATTTATTTATTTTTATATGTGAAATCATTATACAAATCCAAACAGTGAATTTCTTAGAACATAACAATATAAAAAAAAATTCAAACATAAAAATTTTAATAACTTGGGTGAATTTTTATTTATTTATTTTTATTTATTCATTCCTTCTAACGTTTCAATAGTTAGCGTTTATTTATGGAGAAATTATTGTCTATGGACACCGCATGCATCTCTGCATGCGGTGTCGGATCCTGATCGTAGATCAAGGTGATCTACGGTCAGGATTATTTCAGTTTTTTTTAAATAAAAAAAATTAGGTGGGGTCCACTGAAATACATTCTGATCAGCTACCGCACGCATGGAATAATTTTTCTTATTTATGGCTCAGCATTCAGAAAGTCTGAAACATTAAATTATTCAATAATTTTTCAAATCCTAAATAAATTAAAAAAAAAACCAATTTCTTGAACTCAAATTTAGTCCAATCAAAATTTGCAGATACCAGTAAGATGAGACTGCATTGTGAGAGCAGCTATCTAGATAGCTAACAATCATTTCAAACCAGAATTTTCATCGCGGAAAAATAAGCTCCAATAAACAAGCGAAGAAGATGTCAAATCATGAATTATTTATTCTTGCTTTTATGTTTAATTTTATTTTATTTTATTTAAAAGTAAAAATATTAGCGAGCAATTATTTTATTATGTTGAAATTTATTTATTTTTTTATCCAATTATTATTTTGACGAAGAGAATTATAGAACTTTTGGCAGTTTGGCCTATGTTCTTTAGGTTAGGAGTCATGATTTTTTATGCTTAAGATTAGGAGTGTCAAATCGGATTCACGAGTCATGTTGGAGTCTAATCCCAAACCAATCTAACATGAAATTGCTTGACCTGATCACAACTTAAAATATTAAATGGGTAAGAAAGCCTAACCCAAACCTTACTCGGCTTCAAACCGACTGACTTAAGTATAGCTTGCATATGTCGTTTAATATAGGTATGATAGTTATTTGGGGTAAACTCAGGTCTATTTAACTCGAGTATAGGCCAATTTCAGGTTGGCATGTCAACTTGAACTCTACAAAATTTTTTAAACGTGCCAATATCTTAGACCTAAGTGCTTTTATTGGGTCAACCTGAATCTAAATTTTTTGAGTTGTGTTCAATTCAAGTTTGCATATCTAGCCAATTTTTAACACTCGTACATAAATTGGAAGCTAAGAACAAAAATTGACATTTGCTCTCCTTGAACAAGTCTTCAATGTAAAGTTAATTTCTACAATTAATTTCTAGCTTAATTATGATTTTTTGAATAAAATAAAAAAATTAATTTAACGTAGGCTTGTTATCAAACAGAAGGTGTTTGTTTCGCTGACCATAAATCCAAGAATAAAAAAAATAATAATTTTGAATCCATTATTTTTGTATAAATTAAAAAAAAATAATAAATATATTTAATAATTATTAAAATAATCTCTCATGTAATTCATTTATTATAAAATAATACATGTATAATGCCCATCAGAACTATGTTTCACTTGACGACAAAATTGTTTTATTTCTAATTTTTTATGAAGTTTAATCGTAAACCTGCAGCCTAAAATTCGTGATATTGGTCCCACAACAAAGCCTATGTTTTCCGTTTAAAACCAATAATTATTCGATTGATGGACAACCTTTCTTTCCAAGTGTGGGACATGTAATTATTTCTAAAGTGGAAGATTTACATTCATACCACTCAATTCTTATGTATTTATGTAGCTAGGACATAATTCAATTTTTGCATAAATGCTTCCTTGTCCAAAATTTTTTCTGTGCCGACTCCTGACGCATCTCTACATGCGGCGCAGGATATTCATGAGTTATTTTCAGATTATTTCTAGATTATTTTCAGTAATCCCGAAATAACCCAGAAATAACCCGCAGTCTTTATTTTTGGGTTAGTCTTTATTTTTGGGTTGGGTTATTTCAGGGTTATTTCGGGATTATTGAAAATAACTCAGAAATAACCTGAAATAACTCAAGAATAACCTGCACCACATGTAGAGGTACGTCAGGTGTCCGGACAGAAAATCTGTGTCAGCGTGAACAGATGTTTTCGCTTTTTGTTAATTAAAATATTAATATTTTTAATTTGATATAAAAGACTTGAGTGGTGCAAGTATAAGAAGTAAAATTTAGGTGCTATATATGTAAATAAATGGAACTTGGGTGGTACCCATGTACATGCTTCTAAATTTTCAATTTATTAGCGACAGAAAGTTTTTTGGTAGCAATCATAAATGACTTAAATTATTGCTATAACTTTCTAATAAAAAAATATAAAAATAATAAAGTTTTTTATGGTATAAAACTTCATATATATATATATATATATATATATATATGTCAGAAATTTATTATTTATCATACATTGCCCAATTCATGATCATACTAATATATCTCAATCGAGTTTAAATTAACTTATGCGTTGAGTACTCTTGGCATATGACATGCTAATATTATATAATATTAAAGCATGCATATCTAACACATGAAACATTGGTCTGATATATGCCAAATATGTCCCAAATGTGCCTAGTTAAAAAATAATGATAATAAAAATGTCTAATAAGGTTCCTTAGCAAACATAATGTTAGATATTTTTAAATTGAAAAAAAAAAATTTAGTTACTTGCATGCCACATAATTCTTATATATTTACATATCTAACTCCTAAGTATTCATAATTACATAAATGCCATCCAAATTTTTTACATTACATAAAAAATATCACTAGTTTCAATTTTTTTTTAAATTAAAACACTATTTTTTGCATAATTATAAATATAAATATCAACTTTTAGGTACCTGTAAATACACAAGAATTGTGTGGCATGCATACAAGTTTCCATGAAAAAAAAATGTACCAAATCCCCTTAGACCGATGCCAAATAACTAAATAAATTGAGTTCATATAATAATGATATTGAATATTAGCGAGATTACTAATAAATTCATCAGTGAAGGGATGCGATGGACCAATAAAAACCAAAAAAAACAAAAATCAGCACATGATTCCATAAAGTGATGACATTGAACCAGAAGGACGTCTTCAGAGGAATAAGAAATCCTCTATCAAGAAATGACAACACAGCCTTCAATTTCAGAAAACCTCAAAATGTTCTATATAAGACAGACTCTATAGACATTTACAAATCTAAGTCCGTCAACAATGACCTATCTCAAAATCAACAAAAAATCAAAATTTTGAGCTTATAAAAATCGGCACGGTTCACCAAATTTCTTTTAAAACCTACGTTCGTCAAATGGAAGAGAAGTTGCTATCAGAAATGGCGAAAATTTACCGTTTTTTATACAAAAGACTTCGGGTTGTTTCACCAAACGAAAAAATTTTTAAAGGTTGGCGTTCGCTCCAACCAAAAGGAACTTCACCGCCTCGTCAAACAGAGCCTATATTCCAGAGTATATACAAATATACCCAAATATATGGACCAAAGAAGACCTTGTGATAAATTTCCCCGATTCCAATAAACATTTTCCGAACCTAAAACTACAAAAATCATGTACATTAAAGAGGGCTTTAAATCATGTTTAAGAAAATCATTAAAAGTTGCTCTTGGTACTATGGTAAATAACTTTTACACCTCAAAAATGTTCAGTGTCGTCAACATCAACCTTGCTGCACTTTACAGATGAGTGTTCGCTCATTTTTAGGTCCACCAATGAAAGTGCCAACCTTCTCACCGACAATTGCTTTTGCAATGTTCCCGGGTTTATTCAAGTTGAAGACCACAACTGCAGAAGCAGAAAATTTATTTTCGATAGCATTTTTTCATAGCTACAGAATATTCTTACGTATTTACATATCAAACACCTAAAACATTCATAGATTTATAACACCAAGGTGTTATAAATGTAAATATCAAAATTTGGGTGTTAGGAATGTAAATACGTGAGAATTGTGTGGCATGTATGTCAATTTCCCTTCTTTGAGGGATAAACTAACAAGCTTCCCCAACCACTGAGGGATGGATGGGCTCACACTTTCAATAATTTCGAGAGATTTTCAGATAGTTCGAAAGGCAAATATTTTAGGCGAAGAAGAGGATATGTTATATAGATGATATGAGGTTTACCAGGAATATTGTTTTCTTGGCAGAGTGTGATGGCAGTCATGTCCATTACTGAGAGATCCTTTGTAGTTACATCCTGATAGCTTAGGGTGTCAAGAAGGCGAGCATCTGGGTGTGTTTTGGGGTCTTCATTATACACTCCATCTACATTTGTTGCCTTAAGAACAACTTCCGCATTAACTGTAAAAAGATAAAAATAAAAAATCAAACCGGAAAATCTGAAAAACTCGAGAAAATTCAGAAAAATCAGGAGAGCTTCATTGAGCTGGAGATCAACATTCAGCTTGACTGATATTTTAGCCATGTCCAACTGTTTGTGGAGTTGCCTCATTGCGGTTGGGATACTATTTGATACAAACTTACGATTGACATGGAAGGGAAACAATTCAAAGATGTGGTAAGGCCCTTGATACATTTGATGATGTAATGAATAAAGATAAATAAATCTACGATTTATGGTTTCGGAACCTTCAATTAGAATATAAATCCATGATCCTTTGATGAAAACCCAAACATAAAATATAAACCAAACGATAATCTAGGGATTGTTTAGTCCGCAGCGAAGGAGTGTGTTGCATTCTTTTTGCATGGCTTTTAAAATCCGGGTGTTTGGTCAAAAGAATTCCAAATGCAATGTAAATTTTGAATGTATTTATTTAGAATTCATTCATTAGTTCATTTTCTGAGTATTTGGAATTCATTGGATTTGGGTGAATTCCAAATGCATCGCTCCATCAAAAGTATTGTTGGTCGCGGCCCGCCACCGCTGCCCAACTCCTGCCCTCCACCATCCGTCGCAGCCAACAGTACCGCTGCCATTGCCGGTCACCACCATTCGCCACCGTCAACCATTGCCTGCCCCCACCACCTCCTCTGCAGCCTGCCCCTATAAACCCCCACCCTTGCCACCGCCAGCCACCGCCTGCAGCTTCTTAACTCCATTGGCTGCTAACAAGTTTATATAAAACCTCACATACTTCGAATGAATTATTTTCATCCTATTTCAAATCTAACAAAAAATATATATAATTGTGTATTTATTTTACATTGAACAAAATAACTTCATAGAATTCCAAATACAATATATTACTTCTGTGTTACATTCATTTTACATTGCATCACCTTTAAATCAAACCAAATAGGCACCTAATGATTGGTCAAGTTAAGGAAATCAGCAAGAAATTTGAAGCTATCAAAACTCAGTGTAATCAGAAGTAGCGCCGCAATTGAACTATTTCGTATAAAATTTTGATTGATATTAAAAACGCCCAAAAAATCAGGGCCCGTTTGGGGCAGCTTAAATGTGCCGTTTTTAAAAACGCCGCCCTAGCGTTTGGAAATCGTGTTTTACATGTGTTTTTGGAAACAGCTTTTTTAAGTTATATTACACGCGGATCGGCCGCGTTTGGGCTCCATTTTTCATTTTTTCCTCCGCTACCCTCCTAAGCCCGCGGCCGACCTTCCTTCAAACATTTGGCGACGATCTCGCCTCCGTCGCTTTGCAGGTAACAAAACTCTTTCCTCGCTCGGCTCCTCCCTTCTTTCCCCTATTTCGCCGAGAGATCTAAGATTTTGGCAAGAAATTTCACTCGATCCATCTGTTTGGAAGTGTTTAGGTGGCTAAAACCTAGATCTATTCTGAATATGCAAGTACCGCTGGTAAAAATATAGATCCACTGTTTCTGTGATATGTTTGAAGCATCAAGGTAGTTCTATTCTTCATTCCTCATCCCAACCTTTCGTCGAACAGTGTATATTCGTATTAACCGAAATTTTTTTTTTTTCATTTTTTGTTCATATGGTCTCCATGCTATTCAAAGTTACTGATTCTTTTAGGGTATTTCTTGAGACTAGATGATATTGACGCAATGTTTTGTTCCCTGCGATTTGATTCTTTGAAGGTATTTGTTGAGGCTTGTTTGAAGAAAAACTATATATACATTGGATTTCGTCTGTCATTTTAGAGAAAATCACTTTTAATATCGTAATTTGTTTATTTCTGATGCAGGGATATCGTTAAGAAATAGTTTAGTGGTTAGATTTGTAAAAACATAAGAATTGGGCCATATGCCTGTGAAACTTTGGAAAGAGCTTAAAAGGGGATCAACTGGATTGGGATGGGATCTTGTAAAACGGATAATTGATGCACCTGAGGAATGGTGGGCAGAAAAGTTAGCGGTAAGAACATCACTATTTCAACTAAATTTTAGAGATATATTTTTGAAATATTAATTAGATTATTTTTTTTATTACAGGTTGTGCCAATGGCAAAAAAATTCAAATTTAATGGAATTGAACCAGCTTTGGAGGAGAAGTAGGATGGCATGTTTACTGGTGTTGTAGCAACAGGAACTCATTTTTTCACCCCTAACGAGCAGGGTGTTGTAAACCTAGCTGAGGATATAGAGACCGAGCATATTGGTGATTCAGGAGAAGGTCCCAGCCAAATCCACCCGGATATCCAATCCACTGGTAGAACAAAGCGCCCCCGTCCTGTAAAAAATAAAAAAAACTTTGCATTTGTTAAAGGTTCTATTGTAACATTGATTGAAATTTCCAAAAATAATTCCAAAACTGCGAAGGACAGCACAATCCAATAACTGGTGGAGAGTGAGGGGATCAGATATTCACTTATGTAGTTGTTGAGATAGGTGCTGAAATAACGATTTGGGAATCTCAATAACTATAGGCATAAGGTTGTTAATATGGGATTCTGCAGTTATTATGATTCAGTCCCAAATCTCAATAACTATAGGCATAAGGTTGTTAATATGGGATTCTGCAGTTATTATGATTCAGTTATTATATCAGATATTCAGTTATGTATTTTCTTTGTTCTCATTATATTTTACATAACTACATACATACGGGTGAAAGTTAAAGTTCTACTTTATAGGAAAGATGATAACTGCTCCATTCCTTACACAGCACAGGGACATTCACAATTTTACCTACATACCACCTAACAATCATGTATTTACATATCTAACACCTACACTATAATAAAAATAGGTAGAAGTATAAATAGGTAGAAGTATTTTACAATCACATAGAATAATTAAAATAAAAGAGATTTAGCTCAATGTATTTTCAGTCTCAATGCATTTTCAGGCTCAATGCATTTTCTTTGGAATGGATGTGGTTATTTTTTTGGATATGGAAGCATCTAAATTATGTAAGCAATCTATATGTAGCTTGGATGGCCCCATGCTATGTATGTAGCTTGATGGCAACCGCTACATTAGTGCTACATATGATCCTTCTTTCATGTAGCTCTGGACTCCTGTTTAATGTTAAAAGGATATTTTTTTAGGTGCTTTTTATTGAAAGCATCAAAGGAGTTGTTGGGGGAACATTGCGTATGATGGAAAGTTTTTATTAACGTGTGTTATGTGAGTAAAGTTATTATTGATGTGGATATATGCACTATTTAGTTTCTTGTATGCTCGTCAACTAAACAAATATACATATGAGTGTTGATTTTGCCTGATTCTTTATGCATTTACATACAAGCGACCCCATTCCTATATCAGAATAAAAAAACAAGAACCACAACTGGGAGAGCTTAAATTTATATTCCTTCTTTAAACCATATATATACTTGTGGATATATGTCACATTCCTTTTTTTTATTGGAAGATTTACATGCATACCGTATGGTTATGGAAGCATCTAATGTATGGTTATGGAAGCATCTAATGTTGAATCATCTAATGCTGATTTATTCTTAGTTCTAGTATCATGCACTACAAAATGTCACGACACTATGGTATGGTTATAGAAGCATCTATGGAAGTTATAGAAGCATCTAAAATTTGTAAGCAATCTATATGTAGCTTGGATGGCCCCATGCTATGTATGTAGCTTGGATGGCAACCACTACTATTGTATGACCAATTATTTGTTGGAATTTTTATGGAACGAATTTTTCTCCATGAAACATGTCGTAGGACTTTATGATGGCCTTCGCATAGATCGGGATGAAGGTGATGCTTATATTAGAGTTTATATTAGCAGCTTTGAGCATATTTTATAATTAATGTGGATATGTTATTTTATGTTGGTTAATAGCTTCACCTCTTATATGGTGGATAACGGTGGAGCAGTTTGGACGACCACGTAAATTTGTTGTCAGCAATCGCTGGCTCTACACTTGGGTAAGTTTACTTATTATATTTCCTTATTTTTTGGACTGATCTATTCTATTTTTAATAAATGCAGAACAATGAGTTCCAGACATTCAGGGAAGTCCGAGAAAGTGATGTGTCGTTGCGTACTACCGTCGTTGCTGTTAACGTCACGCCAGACACATAGCTACGGGAGGCAATTTTACAGGTGCCCGCGGTGGGGACAAGGACCTGAAGACTGTAAATTCTTCAGATGGACGGACAATACAACTGTTTCTACGATATCCCAATTGGACACAGCTGCTAGAAGCACGAAAGGACCACAACAGGAGACCACCACATATGGTTCGAGTTCTTCCGTGTATACCACACCCCATCAGAACACACTTGCTCGGGGATTAGAGGTATCAGAAACGGGCAGGTATCAGAACGATGTGACTTTACATTTAAGGTATCAGAACCGGGCAACATTCGTCATGATGTGACTTTACATGTTAAACTCAATATTGTCATATTTTTTTTTAACATGTTATTTCGTTATTTCTTCTTTTTTTTTGGGTCTTATTATAATCCATATTAGAGTTTCATAAATGTGTAATGAACTTTTATATATATCACTATATTTTTTTGATGTAATCACAACTTTTTTGAGTTATATAAATATTATTAAATTTTTTTGCATTTTCATTTCTTGACATTTGAGAAAATAACATTCTGCTACACAGATTATTCATTCAACTAAAAAAATTTGCAAATAAGCTGTTTACAAAACGCACTAACCAAACAGCTTAACAGTTTATTCAAAACAGGGGCAGAATGGTCAATTTTACAGAATCAGCTATTTTCCAGACGCACTAACCAAACAGCCAGACAACTTATCCAGATCAGCTGGTCATTGGCAGATTATCAGGATAAACTGCTTATCAGCAGAAGCTGGATAAGTTGCAGCTGCCCCAAATAGACCCTCAATAACAATTTCTTTAAAAGAAGGTGAACAAGGAAATTTTCAACCAGTAGAGAACCAAATCTCATGTTGGTACAAAGGCGCAACGC